ATTTACTGTTTATATTTACTGATTACATTTAAAGCTCTTTTCAGTCCTATAGTGGAAAGGCATGATTTTTAGAACCGTATATAGTAAATAGAAACAATATGTAATCACCACGTGAAGAATAGTTGTTTCCCCTTCAGGTTGTATAAAAAACAGTCTATATTTAGTCTCAATTTTTATGAATATTGTCGGGAGCCACTCTGAATAGGATCTATGTACACACCTTTAAGTCCTGAGTAAAGAGGTACTGAACATTGCAATGCAATTGGACCTTACCTTCACTAGGATAAGAGAGGTGCAGCTCCAGGAGTGGGTGTTGAATTACACCTACTTGTTTCTTGTAACCCTACCCTTGTCTCATTTGAATGGCTTCTCCCCAATAAAACCTGGGTTCCAGGCATGCTTTTTCTCTTTCTTGCCTGCCTTGCCCCTGCTTGTGGGAGCTGTGGCTGAGGAGTGGTCACTGAACCCAAAAAGGTACTTTCTGTATCTGTGTCTTTATTCAGTCAGCAAAATTCACTTGGAGTGACCCTGATCAGTTTAGTCATGTGTTGCAACAGGATATTGAAAATATTATAGATAATCTGTAGTTTGAATTTTTTTAAATATTTATTTTTTAGTTATAAGTGGACACAATATCTTTATTTCATTTTTATGTGGTGCTGAGGATTGAACCCAGTGCCTCACGTATGGCAGGTGAGCGCTCTACCTCTGAGTCACAACTCCAGCCCCTGTAGTTAGAAATTTTGCTTTAGTTTCATCAATCTATAGTAGTATGAATGCCACCTGTGTACCTAAACTTCAGTTGCAAGCCTGAGGATAGGATTTCTGTACTTAAAGAGTATCCAATTGTACATTACCCTAACTTTACACAATAACCAAAATGATTCATTTATCAACCAACATTAAGGTTTTAAGATCTCATTATATGAAAGTGTGATGCTGGGCACAGTGGTGCATGCCTGTAATCCCAGTGGCTTGGGAGGCTGAGACAGGAGGATAGCAAGTTCAAAGCCAGCCTCAGCAAAAGTGAGGCCCTAAGCAACTCAGTGAGACCATGTTTCTAAATAAAATACAAATAAGGCTGGGCAAGTGGTCAGTGGTTGAGTGCCCTTGAGTTCAAGTTCAATCCCTAGTACCAAAAAAAAAAAAGTGTAACAAATTGCTTCTACACTTAGAACCCAAGCTCATGTCATCCTGCTCAAGAACATTCAAGTCTATGACTTGCACCAACCACAAACTTCAAAGTCCTCAAATATAAGAAAATTAGAATATTGGGCTTAAGGTTCTATAAACTCTCCAGAGGTAGAGTTTATGCATATAAAACTACAATATTGTTTGGTTTTGTTGCTGGGGATAGAACCCAGGACCTCATACCTGCTAAACATGCACTTTACCACTAAGTTCCACCTGCAGCCCTACACTATATTGTTTAACATTGTCTCATGTAAAGTATATAAATATTTAGCTTTTTATGTCTTATTATTGAAGATAGTATCAAAGTGAACCAGTATAAAGAACTATACAAATGCTGTAAGCAATAGAAATAACAGGTTCAACATGCATAAAGCCAAGAAAACCAACCATGCCAGATACTGAATTTCTATTGCACCATCCTCTGAACATGCCACCAGGAGGAAACTGCAGAGTGCAGATACCATGCAGTGCAACTTATTTATATTTTTATTTTGTCCATTACTATATCCCCAATGCCAAAACAGTATTAAACTTTGTGTGTGTGTGTGTGTGTGTGTGTGTGTGTTAGGGGGGTACTGAGGATGAAACCCAGGGTGTTATACAAGTTTGTCAGATATTCTACCACTGAGTATGTCCCCAAGCCCCCAAATGGTTCTGAATATATAGTAGATAGTCAATAAATAATTTTTCAATGATGAAGACTGAAAAAATATAAACAGTACTTTGGGGCTGGAAAGTTTTGCAATGAAAGAAAGGACATGTATAGAACTGAAGTTTGAGGATGATGACTAAGGTTGAAGGAAAGTTGTTTTTTTTAAGATATCTTTTTAGTTGTAAATGAACTTTTATTTTATTTATTTACATGCAGTGCAGAGGATCGAACCCGGTGCTTCACTCGTGCTAGGCAAGCAATTTACCACTGAGCTACAACCCTAGCCCGAAGGAAGGTTTCTTAATAAGGAAGATGCCCAAATAATTGTAGCAAGGAAGATGCCCAAATAATTGTAGCAACAGGGGAAAGGAACAATAGAGGAAGATTAAAAAGATAGGATTGAGACCTGTAGAATAGTTACCAGAGAAAAGTAATTCTTTCTCTGAGACAAGACAGAAGGATGTGTAAAGAGGAGACACACTGATAAACTTCATGTCATTGGATACAAGCTCAGTCAATCACAAACATATTAAAATCTTTTGATAAAACAAAGGAGAAGACAGAGGGGCTCAAGGACAGAAAAATGTCTTGGAATCATTACTGTGGGGAAGATGATAGAAAGTGATCAAGAAGCTAGGCATGGTGTTGCACACTTGTAATCCCAATAACTCAGGAGGCCAAGACAGGAGAATCAAAGTTTGAGGCTAGCCTCAGTGACAACATATCTCAAAATTTAAAAAATAAAATTAAAAAGGGGCTAGAGATGTAGCTCAGTGGTAGAGCACCCCTGGGTTCAATCCCCAGTACTGTAAAATACAAAAATAAAAGATTAAAAAAGAAGAAGAAAAAGAAACAAAAAAGGAAAGTCAACAAAAGTCAGTATTATTCACTGCCTAGCTTAAAAAAAACACATAATTTTAGAAGATCCAATAAGTATGGCTTCATAAAATTTCCCAACAATGTTCCAGCAGGGCTGGGGCTGTAAATGGTGGAGCCCTTGCCTAGCATGTGTGAGGCACTGGGTTCAATTCTAGCACCACATAAAAATAAATAAAATAAAGATATTATGTCCATCTACAACTAAAATCATATTTTAAAAAAAAACAACAATAATGCCCAAGCAGCTCAAAGGAAGGAGTGTAAAAAGCAGACAATAAAAATTAACAAAGGCCATTCATTGGCATGGTGCAAATATAAAAGCTTTACAGACTGTGCATATTTTCACCCTTTTGCCTATACTAGTACATGGGAGAGTATTCCCCACATGTGGAGAGTATTCAAGCAATGTCTCCTAAATTTAAGACAGGAAGGATGCAAGTGAGAAATACACTAACAGTAACCAATAAGGTTACCTTGGACATACTCAAAATAAACTTTGGTTTCAATACCAATTGGGCCTTAAATGATAGTTGCATACAGAGTCTATGCTATTAAGATACACCTGGTCTCCTGCTTTCCTATTCTACTCACTACTAACAACATTTGAACTCCCAATTATAGGTTCAGTCCTACACTAAGCTCCAGTTCCAAACTTGACATTTGTTAGAATAGATTTAAGAAGTACTCCTTAAGGTTGGGTATGGGGCTCAGTGGCAACATGCTTACCTCACAGGCACAAGGCCCTGGGCTCAATCCCTAATAGCACAAAAATAAATAAAAATGTACTTGCTTCAAGTCTGGGAACATTGTCAACCTGTATTCCTCTCCTGGTAATTTTATCTCAGTATGGCTCTTTATGCAGGTATTCTATGCCAGTTCCTTTAGTAATGGAGCCCTAGCTTATTCCTCCTAGTTCATCTACAAACAATGCCATGCCTCAAATATCTGAGTCCTGCCTCTGAGTCCAGATCTCAGTTCAAGTCTGTTGCCTGCTATGCGATGCCAACTACGAGTGTGTCTGGCTTATGAACTATTTCCAACACTTAATTTTCTCTCATTTGTCATGTTCTGCTTATCTGCCCATTATGATACCCTGCTTGGTCAAGTAGAAAGCAACTATGCCTTGCTTATCTATATATATTCAGAGCCTAGCCAAGGATCTAGTACTGTGCTTTTTTTCCCTATCTTGACTAGCTGATTTGATATCTTCCTGAAAGATGGTCTACAGTTTAATGCATTCCCTACATGGCATTTCTACCTTTGGGTCCAGGTTCTTCCCAATCTATCTGGCCTAATGTGTCACAAATTATGAAAGTTATAAAATTTGAGTATCATCTTCTTTTCAGGTCTTAAAGCAAATAGTAGGCAACTATTGTTCTGACACAGTTAAATGATACTATGAAGAAATATGATAAATTAAGTAACATTTCAACTTCTTTTCTGGGCAATGAATTTATGACATATAAACTAAATAGTAAATATTATTTTAAAAGAAAATCTAAAATATTTAATCTTTCAAAGAAAATCTAAAATATTTAATCTTTCAACAATAAACAGACCTTCAAAGAAAATGTCTGCAATCACTACTGTTAATCATATATCTCCCCTAAACCTGTCATTAAAATTTGAAATGCAACAAAAAACATTCATATTTCATTGAGTTCACACTTGTCCTTCTAGCTTTTTGTTCCTGCAAGAGCCAATACCCCTATTATGTGCATACTATATGATAACCCAAAGGAAGAAATGTCCCAATCACTATTGAAAGCACTGAAGGCTTTATCTTTAAAAAGCTTTTATCTTTTTTATATTCTAGAATTTTGTCTTACTAAGGAGTCAATTACTAAATGTTTTCTAGAGTGGTTAGAAAAGCAAGAGACAATAACCCAAAAATGAAAGAATGGCTTCTTGTACTTTCTTTCAATGAATGCTTAAGAAAAAGAAAGATATTAAAATTTAATCTGCTTCCTAGTACAATATTGCAGATGATTAGTAGCAGATAACTTCAGAGGTTTGGATGACATATTACCTTTCAGAATAGGGTGCAAAAAGTAAACAGTAAGTAATGAAACTAATAGTCTTTCAAATTCTTTCTCCTTTTGGAAAATCCCATTTAATGTTTACAATGCACAAATCAAGAAAATGTCAATTTGACCTTGTTCTATATGAAGGAACGCTCAAACATCCTATACAGCTGAGAAGTCATAACACCACATGTCTCCGCTACTGTATATAAGAACATTTGCTGCCTCTGAAAATAGATAAATCAAAGGACCTTATCAAGTTGTTTCAAATGCAGGTAACAGGAAGCCATGTTCCTCTGCAGCTTGGCTAAATCCAGATCTAGCTGACCAAATCCATAAAACGTCAGAGAATAATAGTACCATTGTAGGGCATCAGCATAATTTTGGACCTAAAGTTTAAAAAGAAAAAAATAAAATCACAGATATATCTTTACATTTGACCCTAATTTTCCCAATTCACCTCTATAAGCAAACAAAAAATGATACTGGTTTCTTTTTTAGGCAACCAAAACACAAACACTTTCTAAAAATTTTTAAGTTTGTTCTATTTTATTTTTCCCACACATTAGAGATTTTAGGGGCTGTAGGTATAGTTCAGTAAGAGAGAACATGATTAGCATGCACAAGGTTCAATGTATAAAACTGAAAAAAAGGTATTTCACATAAAAAATAAAAAGCCTAAGATAGTGAATCACCCCCAGAAAATTCACGATTTTAAAAGGTATTAAAACAATGAAAAAAATTTTAAGAGAATATCCATAAATCACCATGCTAATACAGCCATTTTCATTATTTTATATTCCATTTAACTTTATCCTTTTGTGTACTTAAAGTTATAGTCATAGCTTATATACAATTTCATGATCTATTTTTTTCCATTTAAGTTTGTTTTATACATAATAATCTGTATTGTTATGTAGTTTCACAGTTAATTTAAGGGATATATAACATTTAATATAATTAATATATCATAATTTTCTTATTTTCAGAATGTTGGACATTTAATGAGTTTCCAGGTTTTTCACTATTATAATAAATGCTGCTATGCTTTTATACAAAACTTTTTTCTTTTGAGTTCACTTTAAATTTTTCAGTGGTAATAACCTATTAAGAAAAATCTAATGGGGTTGAGGCCATAGTTAAGTGGAACAACATTTGCCTAGCATACTCAAGGCCTTGGGTTCGGTCCTCAGCACTCCATTTAAGAAACAAACTTAGGGGAGTAGGTCACCATTTCCAACAGCTAAAGAATGGCCTCTTAATTTTAAAAAAGAAAAATCTGTTACAATGATGGTGGAATGTGATGGACATAATTATCCAAAGTACATGTATGAAGACATGAATTGGTGTGAACATACTTTATATATAAACAGAGATATGAAAAGTTGTACTCCATATGTGTAATGAGAATTGTAATGCATTCTGCTGTCATGTATTTAAAAAATAAAATCAATTAAAAAAAGAAAAAGAAAGAAAAATCTAATAGAAATAGTCTGTATTTTTATACCTTTATTTTATTTATTGATTTTTTAAAATGTGGTGTTGAGGATTGAACCCAGTGCTTCACATGTGCTAGGCAAGCACTCTATCACTGAGCTACAACACCAGCCCTGGATTTTTTTTTAAATCTCAGAAAACTTAGATCACTTATGAACACCAAGGTAAGGTAAATGAGTCCCCTCTACATTATCAAGAATGTTCATAGTTTTCAGTTAAGGACATGAATCATTAGGTCCTTTAAGGAATAAATGCCCTTTTCAAGTAGAAACAGCTGTGTTGAGCAGGTAAAACACTACCTTTACTAGATATAAAATTACATTCTTTTCCAGGGTTGAAAGTGAAGGCTAAAAAAAAAAATCATTCATCAAGACTAGAAAATGAGGGGGAAGACAAAGAATCAATAGCAAAAGGGGAATTCTAAAGTAGTTTTTCACATTCTCAGTATAGAAATAAATAAAGGCCCTCTAAAAGAGAAAAAAGAATACCATTTTATTTTGCAGAAATTATGTGTAAGTCCTAGGTCACTACATGCTCTTATAAGGGATTCTGTTTCCTTGTTTTAGGTGTACAATTCCTTGTTTCTTAAACTTTGTTCCCCGTTTTTATGGATCAATAGTTCTCTTCTTTTTATCACTCAGAAGCATTTAAAATATATGGAGGGCTGGGGATGTGGCTCAAGCAGTAGCGCGCTCGCCTGGCATGCATGGGGCGCTGGGTTCGATCCTTAGCACCACATAAAAATAAAATAAAAATGTTGTGTCCACCAAAAACTAAAAAATAAAATAAAATATATGGATATGGGCTTGGGATATAGCTCAGTCAATAGAGTGCTTGCCTCCCATGCACAAGGCCCTGGGTTCAATCCCCAGCATTTCAAAAAAAAAAAAAAAAATACATGGATATACCACAGTTTGCATATTCACATTATCAATATCCAAATTTTTTTCATCTCACAAAATTGAAACTCTGGGAGTCAGGGATATAATTTATTGGTAGAGTGCATGTGTAGCATTCATGAGGCTCTGGGTTCTGAAGCCAGATTTAAAGTTAGGTAGTCAGTGTAGTTAGGTAAATCGGGTCTAATATTGAGTGAAATCTAAAATGGAGACCATGCTGAGAATGACTCAGGGAAAACACAGGACAGCTCATGGAATGTTAATGAAGTCCCGAAAAGGCCCTAGGCCAAAGTCCACCTCAAAGAAATGTTAATGAACAGCCCCCAGCAAAAAGGTGCTGACTCAGAAGTCCTTCCTGACCAGATTACTTCTTTGGCCCACCTGTGTCCCACCCCTTGGGCCTTCCCACCTACATTCCATCACTGAAAGAACTATAAAAAGGGGAGACAACATCCCTTCCACGGATTCCACCTCTTGGGTCCCCTTCTTCCTCCGGGAGAAGTCTTTTCTGCTGTCCTTTAATAAACTTCTAATTTCTACTCTGACCTTGCCTCGACGTGCTTCTTTGGTGTTATTCTTCAACACTGGGGAAGCAAGGACTCGTCACCGGTCAACAGCGGTAACAGTTCCATTGCCAGCATCAGGAAAAAAAAGTAAACAATAATTCCTTCCTTCTTCCTCCCCCAACCCCCTTGTAACCACCATTGTACTTTGTCTCTATGAGTTTTACTACTATAGTTTTACTACGTCTACAAGTGGAATCATACCTTATTTGTCTTTTTGTGTCTGGCTTATTTCACTTCGCATAATGTCCTTATGGTTTAAGCATGTATCAGAATTCATCAATATTTTAAGGCTGGATAATATTCCACTGGCTATGTATTCCAAATTTTGTTTATCCATTTATTTGTTGATGGAACTTGATTGTTTCCATCTTGTGAATAATATGAACAGTTCTGCTGTCAGTATGGGTGTACAAATATCCCAAGAGTGTGCTTTTTCTGGGCACAGAGATGCACACCTGTAATCCCAGCTACTTGGAAGCTCAGTGATAGAATGCTTACCTAGCATGTGCCAGGCCCTGGGTTCAATCCCCAGTATGGAAAAAAAAAAAGTTGTGCTTTTAATTCTTTTTGACATATTTTCCATAGTGACTACACCATTTTACATTTCCACCAACTGTTTCTTTTTAAACAATGTTTGCTGTCAGGTATAGAATTCTAAGTTGCCAGGGTTTTCTTTCATTATTTAAAAAAAAATTAAATTTTTTTTAGTTGTAGTTGGACACAATACCTTTATTTTATCTATTTATTTTTATGTGGTGCTGAGGATCAAATCCAGTGCCTTGTACGTGCTAGGTGAGTGCTCTACGGCTGAGCCCCAGCCCCAGCCCCAGACCCTTCTTTCATTATTTTAAAGATATTGCTCAACTGAGTTCTTGTTTGCATTGATGTTCTCCTTAATTTTTTATGAATTTATTTATTTTAATTAGGTATATATGTAGGCAGAATGCATTTTGATAATAATTGCAACACAACTTTTCATTTCTCTGGTTGTACACGATGTAGCATTGCACCATCTTATGCAGTCATACGTGTACCTAGGGTAATGATGTTCATCTCATTCCACCTTCTATATGTAGGGTATAATTTTTCTTGGCTACTCTTACAATATTTTCTGTCACTGGTTTTAAGCAATTTGATCATTATGTGCCTTGGTGTAGTTTTATTTTCCTTACATGTGGAGTTTGTTAAGATTCTTGACTCTGTGGGTTTAGATTATTCGGCCACTATTTCTTCAAATACTTTTCTCTCCCTCTTCATTTGAAAATTCCAATTACTCATATATTTGGCTACCTGATGTTACTGATACTCTTTTAAGGTTTTTCTTTTCTGTGTATTTCGTTTGGGTCACTTCTTTGCTATTACTTCAAGTTCACCAATCTTATTCTACAATGTCTCATCAGATGTTAATACTATCTGATATTAATTTCATCCTAAAAATTAAATTTTCATCCCTAGAAGTTTGGTTTGGGTAGTTTTATATATTCTATGCCTCTGCTTAGCTTTTTAAATGTATGGAATATAATCATAAGAAATATTTTAATGTCCCTTTTTATTAATTCTAATCTTCTATGTCGTTTATGGGTCAGTTTCAATTGATTGCTTACTGTTTTCACTATAGATTGTGTTCCTTGCCTCTTTGTGTGCTTGGCTATTTTACGGGATGCCAAACATTGTGAACTTTACCTTGCTGGGTGTTCTGTATAGCTTTAAAAATTCTCAAACTCTGCTGTAAGAAGCAATTAAATTCTTTGGGATCAATCTGATCCTTTCACAACGCACTTAAATTATTTTTTTAAGTTGGGTTGGAGCAGGGCTCAGTGAGGTATTAATTATTCCCTACTACTGAGGCAAGACTCTTCTCAGTTCTCTATCCAGTGTCCCATGAATTAGAGATTTTCCAGTCTGAGTGGTAAGAACAGGTTCTAGTGGTCTGGGGAGGTAGTTCAGTCGTATATCACTTATGTAGCATGCACAAGGCTCCAGGTTTCATCCCCAGCACCACAAAAACAAACAAACAAAAAAATGGGCTCTATGCCCAGATGTATGTGAGTGCCAGGTACTTATCCTCTTAATATTTTAGATGGTTACACCCTCTATTAAACACTGGAGGAGGACCTTCTGATGACTAGGATTCTTTTTTTTAGTAAAAAAAATTTGTACTTATAGATGGTAAGAATGCCTTTATTTATTTTTACATGGTGCTAAGGATCGAACCCAGTGCCTCACACATGCCAGGCAAGCACTCCGCCACTGAGCTACAGCCCCAGTCCTCTCTCTTTTTTGCTACTTGGGATTGAACTCAGGGGTACTCCATCTCAAAGCCACATCCCCAGCCCTATTTTATATTTTATTTAGAGACAGAATCTCACTGAATTGCTTAGCACCTCACTTTTGCTGAGGCTGGCTTTGAACTCACAATTCTCCTGTCTCAGCCTCCCGAGCTGCTAGGATTACAGGTGTACACCTCCATGCCCAGCTGGGATTCTCTCTCTCTCTCTCTCTCTCTCTCTCTCTCTCTTTGCTATGCACCCCTCTCTGATTCTCTGTACTATGAACTTTAGATAACTAGGTGTCCCTAGATTCTCAGTATCATCTCCCCAAATAAGGATGCCTGGCAGGTTACAATTCAGTTCCCTTTCCCAAGTTATAGCCTGGAAACTAAAGGCAGTAAGTTATACATTTGTAGTATTCATCATGTTTCCTATTTCCCAGGGATCATTCTTCACTGCCTGATCATCAGTATCATTAATTTTTTTTTCATTTCATGTCTTGTATTTTTTTTGGAAGGGTATTGTTCAAGCAGGGACATAACTGTTCTCTATTACTACATATTGGTTGGAGATAGAAGCATACCATAGCTTCCTTCCTTCCTTCCTTCCTTCCTTCCTTCCTCCCTCCCTCCCTCCCTCCCTTCCTTCCTTCCTTCCTTCTTTTGTAGTGCTACTGATCAAACCTTGGGCCTTGCTCATGCTAGGAAGGCATTCTGCCACTGAGCTGCATCCTCAGTTCAAACTTTTTACAAAGTATGTACCATTTTATTTACATATGCAAATATACAAATACACAAGAAGATTACAAGGAATATATAACATTTTAAGAATGACCAGGATTATGAGTGACTGTTCTTTGCTTTAAAAATCAATGTATCTCTACGTGTGTATAATATGTCAAAATACTCTCATCAGGGGAAAGGGAAAAAAAAACAAGGGGGAGAAATGAATTAGAGTAGATGGGGTAGAGAGAGAAGATGGGAGGGAAGGGGAGGGAGGGGGGATAGTAGAGAATAGGAAAGGCAGCAGAATACAACAGACACTAGTATGGCAATATGTAAAACAGTGGATGTGTAACCGATGTGATTCTGCAATCTGTATACGGGGTAAAAATGGGAATTCATAACCCACTTGAATCAAATGTGTGAAATATGATATGTCAATAACTATGTAATGTTTTGAACAACCAACAATAAAAATTTAAAAAAAAAAACAACAAAATACTCTCATCATGTATATCTAAAAAGAACACATTTTTAAAAAATAAAAAAAAGATCAATGTATCTTTAGTTTCAAATTTCTCTGCAGGAAACCTGGATTGTTTCATAAAGTTTTTCTTTTTTTCATCTCTTTCTTAATTTTTCATCTCTCTCTTAAAATGCTTTTAAGTATGAGGCCAAGTAGATATTTATGGAGCCGTCAACTCCATAAATACCTACGTGGCCTCATACTTTTTTTAAGGTAACAAAATTCCTCTAACTTTCTTGTCCCTCATATTAAAATAAATTACATTCCTGTATTTTAATATCAGTGATGTCATTTTGCTATACTACAATTCTCAATGGAAAGGAATCATGTCTTCCATTTTTTAAATATTTATTTTTTAGTTATAGGTAGACATAATATATTTTATTTGTATGTGGTGTCAAGGATCAAACCCAGTGCCTCATGCATGCTAGGCAAATGCTCTACCTCTGAGCCATGTCTTCCATTTTTGAATAAACTTTTTGTACAATGCCCACTAGCACTCCACACTGAATATTTAGTAAATAGATAGTATTTAAAAGAGAGAAACTCTTAAGGAATTTGATGCCCTATGATTCTTATAGTGAACAAAGTTTTATTTGTTGCAGTGGATAAAGAATGAAAATAATGTACTCCCAAACCTCAAAACTTCTGGCAGCTTTGTTCCACAGAATGTTTTGTAACCAGCCTGCTAATTCTGTTGTCAGTTGACTTCCTGTTTGGTGACCTGAAAAACACAAAACCAAAAACCCCCTAAGCTCTGAAAGCAAGAATTTAGATCTATTACATTAAACAAAGAGTGCTAACTATACTCAAAGCCTATAATCTTTACGTAATGGCTATAAAAACAATCACATTCAGACAGGTTTTCATCATCAATTTTAGGTTTACCACCAAAATTGATTATATAATGCAATCAGAGTTTTCTAGAACCAAAGTAATTCTCCCATCAGTCTGTGATAGATTTCCAGCCTACTCTCTTTTAAACTTATTTTCCATGTTCCAAATTAGATCATCATTTGGTACCTTAACAAGGTTATTGTGAATGAGCAGACAGCGATGCCAGAAATCATTAATAAGAAGTGTTTATATCATTATGTACTAAATAGATCAGATCAAGTTCACAAGAAAGGCCAATTATACCTTTAAGCCTTGGTAAAATACTTTAAGACCACACTTACAAATAAACTTTATTAGGTTAAATCGTAACTTGTGTCTGATTATTTCTGGTGTAGACATTTACAGGGTTCAAATACATCAGCACATTAAGGTAAAGTTTAAACTATAATAGAATTCTATACCACTTTTCTTCTGTCTCTTCGGCACAAACCATCAATTTCTACAAAATTTTTTATTAGAACGCTAAGAATGTCTGATTCCCTAGCCAAGTCAGCAAATGTAGTTTGTGTCATGACTTAATTAAAAATAGTCACAAGAGTGTAAATGGTTACCTGATGTATTCACTTAAAACACTATAATACTTTGATACTATAAGTGTATAATTTGATATTACAACAAAATATTTCCTAAGTGGAATTTTAGAAAGATGAATTGTTCTGTAATAGCAAGTTTTTTAGTTAGCTAACAGTTTACTTTTTTAAATATAAAATATTGTCATTTAAAAAGTCTAAATCTTTTCATGAAAGTTCTTAAATTTTCTAAAAATTAAAGATACTTCCTATTTTATAAGCAAAATTTAATATTTTCTTTACCATTCAATAAGGTCAACAACACTTAAAACTATTGTATTTTATTGCATCATTAATACCTCACAGTAAGCTAGTCATAAACACATACTGAAAGGGATCAAAACATAAGTATACCCAAGCTTAAGTAAACTGATGTTAAACATCTAAATAAACCTATTTGTCAATAATAAATCATTTAATTTCAGCTGAATTAAGTCCAAAACATTTTTGTCATGAACATCTAGAGTCAATAATTTCTCTCCTGGGTTGGGGTTTGTGGCTCAAAGGTAGAGCGCTAGCCTAGCATGTGTGAGGCACTGGGTTCAATCCTCAGCACCACATAAATATAAAAATGAAAGATATTGTGACCACCTATAAGTAAAAAATAAGTATTTAAAAAATAAATATTTTAAAAAATATAAATACATGTGTGTATATATATCACATTGATGATTTTGAGAGTTATTATATAGTACAAATTACTATATTTTTAAAAATATTTGGAGCTTGGGATATAGATCAATGATAGAGCACTTGCCTAGCACACCTGAATCTATGTTTTAAAATTTTTGTAGGTTTTTTTCCTCTCTTACCTGTGTATTTCTCTGCATACCTTTTCTCTGTTTGTAATATGCTATGAATAAAATGCCACGGTTTAGAAAACCAGATAATAAAAGGTTATCAAAATCAGATCTAAAAATAACTAAATCCTTAGTGAAGGTCTAGAAAGAGGGTGTCATCACTAAAATATGGTTCATAGAATCTAGTCAAATGATTTCCTTTTAAAAATATTAATCACTTTGCTTTCATAAAAACATGATGCATATAAGAATTTAAGCAATATGGCAAAGTAAAAATAGAAGAAAGCAATACATTATCTAAAGTGTCACCAGTCAGAATAAACCTGTGTTAACGTTTAGTGACTATCTCTATACATGTATAGAGTCGGAAGGGTGAGGTAAGGGAGAGAATTTTTTAAGAAAGGGATCATATCATCTGTGTTCTTTAAGGTATAGAGATTCTATAGAGTGGAGAAGGGTTTGAGGACTATTAAGCAAATTTAGCTCTTTATCTCTGTAACTAGAAAAACTAATCTACTTTATCTGGGGTGGGGTTCATATAAAATTACATCACAAAGGAATACTGCTATTAAATAGAAGTCTAACAACCAGGAATTTTATTCATAATCCTCATTTTATAGTAGAACAAAACAAGGTCCAGAGATATTGCCTTGCCCAAAAGCACACATCTAATTTGATAGCAAGGTGGAAACATGAAAATAGGCTTGTAATCTCACAATTTCCCACTCCACATGAGCTTTAAGATCAGAAGTTTAGAGGCTAGGGTTGTGGCTCAGTGGTAGGGTGCATGTGTGAGGCACTGGGTTAGATTCTCAGCACCACATATAAATAAATAAATAAAGGTCCATCAGTAACTAATAAATTTTTTTTAAAAAATCAGAAGTTTGTTTATTTTTGATGTTGTTTTGTTATTTTTGCCTACGTTATCATTCTAGCTCATCAAATTTGTGAAATCTGCATAGGTGAGGTGTTACTGTTAAAGTATATTAGGGAGAAAAAAAGAAGTACAAGAAATCTATTGACTTCAGGATTTTGCTATTGCTCTGACAACTATCTTAGAATTATATGCAGATTAACACTTTTCTAAAACACTTGCAGAAATCCTACTGACCCATAATGATTTCTTCAATCTTCTCCTTGGCAAGCAATTCTTCTTTCCTTTGTAAAAGCATGTCGATGTGGAACAATACAGCTTTCCCAATATTTTCTGATGACTTAAAATGTTCACAGATAGTCTTCAGGAAATGAAATCCAACAGATTCTCTGTTCAAAAAGATATAATTTTAAGCGATGTCAACAGAAGAACATTTATTTCAGCATGAACAAAATAAGCCAGATAAAAGTATATCTGACTGTAATCCCAGTGGCTCGGGAGGCTGAGACAGAAGGATCGTGGGTTCAAAGCTAGCCTCAGCAATAGCGAGGCACTAAGCAACTCAGTGAGACCCTGTCTCTAAATAAAATACAAAATAGGGCTGGGGATATAGCTCAGTGGTTGAGTGTCCCTGAGTTCAATCCCCAGTACCAAAAACATAAGTATATCCAAGCTTAAGTAAACTGATGTTAAACATCTAAATAAACCTATTTGTCAATAATAAATCATTTAATTTCAGTTGGATTAAGTCCAAAATATTTTTGTCATGAACATCTACAGTCAATAATTTCTCTCCTGGGTTGGGGTTTGTGGCTCAAAGGTAGAGCACTCGCCTAGCATGTGTGAGGCACTGGGTGCGATTCTCAGCACAACATAAATATAAAAATGAAAGATATTGTTACCACCTATAAGCAAAAAATAAATATTTAAAAAATAATAATTTCTCTCCTAATCTCTAATCTATGCCTTCTCCTGGAAATGATGCCAATTTTTAAAAACTGGTAACTGAGATCCAGTAAAGTTGCATGAACTGACATGAGAAATTTACCAGTTACCTTCACCAATGACTCTTTTTGTTTGATTACCAAAAAATACACCAGTATTTTAAAAATGCCAATAGTGCTGGGGCTGGGGTTGTGACTCAATAGCAGCGCACTTGCCTAGCATGTGTGAGGCACTGGGTTCGATCTTCAGCACCACAAATAAATAAATAAATGGTACATCAACAACTAAAAAATATTTTTTAAAATGCCAACAGTACATAGACTGGAAGACTTAATGTTGCTAGAATGTCAATAATTCCAAGGTTATCTACAGATTTAGTGCAATCTCTATTAAAATACTAATGACTTTTTTGAGGAAATTAAAATATCCGTCTCCATCCTAAAATTCATATGGGATCTCAAGGAACCCTGTATAACCAAAACGATCTTAAAAAGGAAGTTGGAAGATTCATGTTTTCTGATTAAAATGCTACAGTAATCAAAATGTATGTAACTGGTGTAAAATAAATCCAAAACCAAAAACAGACAGACCAATGAAATGGAATAGAAAACCTAGATATAAACCTTTATATAAATGGTCAAATGATTTTTGACAAAGGTGCAAAGTCCATTCAATGGTGAAGGGACTGTCCTTTTCCACAGGGAAAACTGAATTTTCACATGCAAAAGAACGATATTGGACTTTTACCATAACTCATGTACAAAAATTAACCCAAAATGGATTCAGAAGCTAAATGTGAGTACTAAAATAATTGTCTCTGGTTGCAGAAGTAATTCATCCTACATGTAGAAAACCCTGAAGAATCTACTAAATAGGAGGCAGGAGGATTTCAAGTTCAAAATCAGCCTCAGCAACTTAGCAAGTCCCTGTATCAAAATAAAACATAACAAGTGGGGAATGTGGCTCAATGGTTAAGGATCCCTAGATTTAATTCCCTGTACTCCCTCCCCCCCCCAAAAAAAAAATCCACCAAAAAGTGGTGAGAATAAACAAATCCAGTGAAGTTTCAGGATACAAAATCAACATAAAAAAATCAGTAGCATTTCTTTATATTACAATGAAATATCCAACAAGGAAATCAAGAAAACAATTCAATTTATTCTATTGTGAAAAAAAATATGCAATACTTAAGAATAAATTTAAAGAAAGATCTGTAAGCCATAAATTATAAGACAATGATAAAAGAAATAGAAGATGACAGAAATAAGTGGAAATATATTCTGTGATCCTGGATTAGAAGAATTAATGTTGCTAAAATGTTTATACCACTTAAAGTAATCTATAGATTCAAGGTAATCCCTATCAAAACTCCAATAGCATTTCTCACTAAAATAGAGAAAACAATGCTAAAATCCACATGGAACCACAAAAGAACCTAAATAACCAAAGACGTCTTAAAAACAAAGAACAAAGTTGGAAGCAGCACATTTTCTGATTTTAAATTATACTACAAACCTATAGTAGTCCATAATAACAGGGTATTGGCATAAAACAGACACATAGATAAATGGAACATAATTGAGAGCCCACAAGAAAACTTAGACATAATATACAATCAACTAATTTTTGACAAGGGCACACAGAACACAGTGAAAAAAGTACAGTCTCTTCAAAAAATGGTGTTTGGAAAACAAAACATCCACATGCAAAACAATGAAAATGGACCCTTATTGTACAACACACACAAAAATCAACCTAACATATGTAGAAGACATATGTAGAAGTGTAATAATTGAAACAATAAAACTCTCAGAATAATAAAATAGGTCACAAGCTCCTTGACATTGCTCTTGGCAATGATTTTTTTTTTTAGATAGGACACCAAAAGCACAGGCAACAAAAGCAGAAATAAATGGAACTACATAAACCTAAAAAGTTTCTGCAGAGCAAAGGAAGCAATCAACAAAATGAAACCAACAACACACATAACAGGAGAAAATATTTGCAAACCATATATCCAATGAGAGATTAATATCTAAAATATATACAACTCTATAGCAAAACTCCCATAATCTAGTTTAAAAAGGGCAAAAGATCTGAACAAACATTTTTTTTTCAATGAAGACATACAAATGATGATCATATATATGAAAATGTGCCCAGCATCTCTAATCATCAGGGAAATGCAAATCAAAACCACAATGAAATATCATTTCACAGTGTTAATGGCTATTATTTAAAAAAGGCAAAAGATAGCAAATGTTGATGAGGACATGGGGAAAAGGGAACCATTATATATTGTTGGTGAAAATGTAAACTGTTAAAGCCATTAGGGAAGATAGTATAGAGGTACCTCAAAAAATTAAAAATAGAACTGCCAGCAATCCCACTTCTGGGTATATATTCAAAGAAAGTAAAATTATATCTAAAGAGATATATGTACCCCCCTGTTCATTGCAGCTTTATTCATAATAGCCAACATATGTAAACAACCAAAATGTCCATTAATGGATGAATGTTAACACAGGGTGTATTACATATACAACAGAATATTATTCATCATTAAAAGCAAGGAAACTCTCTCACTTGCAATGACATGGATGACCCTGGAGGAAATTATGTTAAATAAAGTAAGTCAGACACAGAAAGATGATTACTATATGACTTCACCTCTATGTGGAATCTAACAAAGTCAAACTCATAGAAACAGAGAATAGAATAGTGGTTACCAGGATGGGGGATGTTGGTCAATGGGTACTCACTTTCAATGACAAGATGAATAAGTTCTGGAGACCTAATGTATAGCATTGTAACTATAGTTAACAATAATTTATACTTGAAATTTGCTAAGATGGTAGATCTTAAGTATTTTCACCCCCAAAAAGGTAACTATGTGAGGTATGGATATGTTAATTAGCTTGATTGTGATAATTATTTTACAATGTACATATATATCAATATATCACATTGTTGGCCTTGAATATATAAAATATCAATTATATACTTCAATAAAATTTTTAAAAGATCTTGTTTACAAAATATTGAAAGGTGTTTCTGATTCAATACTAAGAAAACAACTATTAAAAATGAGCAAAAGAGGGCCAGAGTTATAGCTCAGTTGAGCGCTTGCCTCTCATGTGTGAAGCAGTGGGTTCGATTCTCAGCACTGCATATAAATAAGTAAATAAAATAAAGGTCCATCAACAACTAAAAATATTTTTTAAAGATCTGGAAAAACATTTCACAAAAAGGAACACATTAATGACAAGCTTATGAAAAACGTTCAACATTATTAGCCATTATAAAATGCTGATTAAGGTCAAAATGTGATATAATTCCACCTATTAAATGAAAAGAGGCTAACAATATTCAATTTGTGCCAGAATACAGAGGAACTGGAACTCTCATATATTGCTGGTTGAAATGTGAAATAAAAAGTTATAACTATTTTGAAAAAAGAGTTTGGCAATTTCTTGAAAAGTTAAACATATACTTTACCATCTAGACTAGCCATTTCATTTCTAGGTCTTTACCAAGGCAAATGAAAGCATATGTACATAAAAAAATATGCACCTGGATGGTCATAGCAGCTTTATTGAATTGTCCCAAACTGGAAACCATCAAAATGTCCATAAGCAGGTGAATAGATAAACAAATTGTGGCATATTGGTCACAGAATACTTCACAGAATAAAAAAAATGAACAATAGCTACATGCAACAACATGAAGGGACCTCAAGAAATTATGGACAGAAGCCAGAATGAACAAGAATCAGTGGCATATACCTAAAATTCCAGCTACTTGGAGGCTGAGGCAGAAGGATTACAAATTTGAAGCCAGTCTGGGCAACTTAACAAGACTCCTTCTCAAAATAAAATTTAAAAAATCAGGTGGGGTGGGGCTGCAGTTGTAGTTTAGCAGTAGAGCGCTTGCCTAGCATGTGTGAGGCACTGGGTTCAATCCTCAGCACTACTAAAAAATAATAATTACTAAATAAATAAAATATTATAATAAGTGATATCCCCTCTCTTCCTACACACACATACACACACAAGCGAGCAGGGGAGGGGGAGTAGCTCAATGGTAGAACACATGCCTAGTAGTTCAAGGTCTTGAATTCAATCACCAGTACGGGGGTAGGTGGAGAAAGAAGTTAGACTAAAATGAATAATGCTGTATTTCATTTATATAAAATTCTAGAAAATACAAACAATGTATAGTGGCATTTCTTGATTAATAGTTGTCCAGTGAAGGAGAGATAAGAAGGCTACTAATAGTCACAAGGAACTTTTGGAGTTGATAAATGTTTATTATCCTGATTTTGATAATGGGTTCATAAGCATATGTGTGTGTGTGTGTGTGTGTACATGCACGTTGTGTATGTATAGTCAAAACTTCTTGAATTGTATACTTATTCCAAATATATGCACTGGATTGTAGCTTT